CGAGGTACCGCCATCTTGGTGCACTCGTTTCGGCCTCCATGAGCGAGAACTAATCAGAATTGGATTTTTTTTTAGGCCACTTTCAGCCCAATCCTGGCCCAACCAAAAGTGAGTTGTCGTAACTCTGGGTATAAAGGGACTCTATTTCTGACGAAACTGGACCTATCATTTTGGACTTACTATATTTTGGATTTTTGAGAGCTGAAATGCGGTAGTTTTTCCTTGGAAATTTGGAAAAAACGTCCAATCATTCTTCTCTTTGATGCCTCCAGGAGAAATTTGTACTTTCGGAAAGGGAGACAAGTTAGTGTGAAAATTGGAAAAACGGAAAGGGGGACGGAGATTTCCGTAAAACGAAGGGAGGGCTCCCCCCAGACGAGGGGGTTCGGGGGATCCCCCGAAAAATTATACTGATAATCAGGTACCCATGGAGAAAATAAGAAATATTAAAAAAAAAAAAAAAAAAAAAAAAAAAAAAAAAAAAAAAAAAAACCCTCTCACGAATTCCTTTGGACACGGTTTTTAAATTATTCACTGATAAAAATAGCAAAATAAAATACACCGCAGTAATTTCACTTTAAATTCGGGCAATCAACGCCAGAAATACTTACAATGAGAAGTGACTACAATACCTTGCAGCTTCAGAGTGCAGCGTAAGTCTGTACTCTGTAACCTCAAACCCTTCTTCTTCTTCTTCTTCTTCTATGATGGTTTATTGGCTTCATGCTCCGGTGTGGAGCCCACAGCCATCTATAGACACATTGTGGTAGGTAAGTGGTTAAAATGTCGAGGAGAGAATTAAGTGGGGNGGGGGGGGGGGGTAGGGAGTAGATATGCAAAGGGGACTGAGGGGGTACCAACACCATCTTCACGCCACAAGACCCACACCCACTGTGGCGACTAAACCTATGGTAGACTGGGTCCTGGACAACGCATCATCAACGCATCGCGCTGGGAACGCATCATCATTCATCAGACCTGCTTATTCGCGTTTGCAGTTATTGCCCAAATGGTACTTCATATTTATCGAAAACCGGCGCGGAATCCGGAAATTCAGAGATTTTCGTCGAAAGCGGGTTTTTTCTTTCCGCGCGCCGGAAAAATATTACGCGAAAAAATTCCGCGCGCGCAAGGAAAGGGTTTTGACACTAACGGCGTTCCATACTACAAACAATATAGGTACTCTATTCTTACCTTGAAAGTTTCACTTATAAGTGAAACATTATTTTTGAGACACTTCCTTCCTTCAACAGTTGCGCCAATTTCCCTCAACAGTTGCGCCGTCGAGACAAGGCCTTAGAGTACCTGTATAGCGAGAATATGGACAGATGTGAAACTCCGAAAATCCATCAGGCCCAGAGTTGCTAAAAGAAATTTCATCGAATGAAATTTCATGAAATTTCTTGTGAAATTTCATGAAATTTCTTGTGAAATTTCATGAAATTTCTTTTTTCCCAATGAAATTTCTTTCGACCGACAAAATGTCACAAATGCTTATTTTTTCTAACAGAATTTGTTTTTATTTTCAAAGAGAATAATATTCGTCAATTAGACCAGTTGGAGCGCGGTCTTCGCTCACCTCTTCACTTCTGGTCTTCTCTTGACTACTCTTTCTCTTCTGGCAGTTCTGGCTCATCATGGGGAGGGGGACCGGGGACCCTAACCTCAAATTTCAAACTGTTAATTTTTGAAAAAATCAGAGACAAATGAAAAAATCATTTAAATTGTTTCAAAGATAGTTCAAGATCCCTCCCTTTTGTACCAAAAAAGAACGATATACTATTAGGGGGTAGTAGGATTCTTTATAGTCAAGAAATTTGTTTTGCTCCAAGTATGAAAGCTAACGTCTTACTTTAGCCGTAAAATTTATTTTGGTGTTCAACCGGTACGGCTGTGTGTTCAACCAAAATTTAAGATAAAAAATTCAAAATTATGTTTTTGCTGTTTTACTCAACTTTCTGGGCATTTCTAAAGTTCCCTTTCACAGTTTACCACGTGCCTATAAATGAACTTAAGGAGATTCATAAGTTTCAAGGGTTTAATCCTGAATTCTGCGTGTTAAATGAAATTTCACGAAATTTCATGAAATTTCTTTTTATAATCTTTCATGAAATTTCTTAACTCTGACAGGCCTTCACCGATGCTTCTGCGAATAAAGCAGAGAGTATTATAGAAGGTTAGAGGCCCGACTGGATAGGGAAGAATTGAAACAGAAGTTGGAGCCGTGAGCAAGCATTTGCGTACGTTGGCGCGAGAGTGC